CTTTGTCGAGAGAAGATTTGAGGGAGATGTGAATCGGCGTGAATCGCCAAAGGAGAAGAAGAAAGCAGAGAAAAAAATTGTTTTCGCGAAATGAAAACGTTTCGCTGGCTCTTGGCAAAAAAAAAAAAAAAATCTGCCCAATCACACGCTGACACGCGTCCACATGAACGTTTCTTTTGGCTCTGTGGGCTGAGACGTTTCGAGCCCAAATCAGTTAAAAATCCAATTGTTTACTCATTTTAATGAGATGAAACGGGCCGAGTTTTATGGCTGAGGATGCTCTTAGGGGTTGTTTGAATAGGCTATACGCAAAAAGTTATAGTTCAAGTAGTCAATCACACCACGAAATAAAGTAACTGCAATTTTGTAATAAACCGATAATACTATGGCCTATGAGTATTTTCTCGTTTAAACTACTACTATATGGTTATGATTGAAAAAAAAAATTCAGAAGTAGATAGGATATGTTAAACGGAAAAACTTTATAATTGTAATTAATATGGACTTTACAAGAAAAAATTGCAACGTGGGAAGATGCATTTTTTGTTGTTTTTTTTTTGTCTTAATAATAGTTATATATAGTTCTCAACCTATAAAAATAACCATCTTGAAAACAAGATAGCTGAATGTTGAATGACTAAAAACATAACCCTTCAAAAAATTATGTGATTGGGTAAGAAAACCGCAAAATTGTATAATCAATTCAGCCATCCAACTATACTAAAGTACTAACGCATGCATATAATTATGATTACGGGTTTGATATAGGCTCAAGCTAATACAAATAAATATACCAATGGGCCAGAATTATTATAACCCAATATTTTGGCCGAGTTGTTTAACCTTTACACTAAACCCAATGGATGTTAATGTTTAATGAAGTTGCATAAAAAAATATATTTATATTCATTTTTTTTACATCTAATTCATTCATTGATTTCAATACAAGAATTGATACATCCATATAACATCAATAATGACTAAGTTCTAATAACACTCACAAATATATAAAAAATCATTAAAAAGAATGATGAAGAAGATAAACTGGCTCGAAACAGGTTGTTAACAATCAGAGAACTGGGAGATCGTGGAAAGGAATGGAATCATAGTTTGCTTTAAGATGATTTTCTTTTTCTAAGTTGTAAGATAGAATATCATTACTCTTATTAACCTAAAGTTACACTTTTTTTTGTAAAAAATGATATTTGGGTTTGAATAAATTTTACATTCAATTCAAAAAAATAAAGTGAATTTCCACGATGCTTTCGGTACTGAAACCTTACTTGCCAATAGGTTATAGTAACAATTTTTTTCCTTCTCCAGAATCAATCCCAAAATGATGAAATCGTTATTCTTGGTTATCATATTTTGAATGAAATTCCACAATAAACTAATACTGTTGATGATACTCAATATATCCTCTTGCATTGATTTACTGATTCTTCGTGAATCAGCTATAGTCAGATCTCACATCCACCCTATAAACCTTCGTAATTTATACTCAATCCTCTTTATTAATCGGGAAAGTAGATATTGGGCATCATGAAGAATCGTAAAACTCTTCACGGAGATAACAGACTCGTCTTGGTTGAAATCAGAACACCAACGAACCATGAATGAATAGATTTCAGATTTGGCATCAATTGCGTGTGAACCAGAAACCGCCCCAACAAATTTGAGAACTGATAACGCGATGTCTCAGTTGTAATCACGAACACCACCATCATCCAAAAGAAAAGAATAGATCATAACGAAATCCGACATGAATCAGCATCACCCATACCGATTATTTAAATAGAAAATAAAATTAAACAAACAAACGTAAAAGGCCACCGGCAAATTCTGCGGTTTGAGAAAATCAAAAGAAGAAGAGTTTTGTGTTGAGTCACGTCTATAATCGCCTTGAGAGAGAAGATGATGCAATTATTTTTTGGTAATTAATTTTTATATTTTATATTAATTTTTTTTTCATTTTTAACTAATATTTAGCACTACTTTATTTTTTCTATTATTTTTAAAATAACAGTAAAATAATAGGTTATAAACATAATTAGAATATGAAAAACTGTAAAAAAAACTCATGGTTATACGTAAGCGTTAGAATAAATATAACAAAAATCGTTTACTTTTATTTTTATATATCTATTGACGCACAACTTTGCCAATCTATATATTGATCAAATGATATGACTTCAGGGTTAGATTAAATATAATAAAAATTAATTTTTTCGTAATTTCATATGCAATGATTCGTGGATCTATCAATCATTTACATGTATACACTAAGGAGAACATATAGCTTCTGCTTCTACTTAAAGTCATTCCAATCAGGTCCTAACAGTGTACATTTCACTTGAAGCCCATCTCGATGACGAACTTTGGTTGCTGGCGTTCAAATAGTAGATGGATTCAAATTTTATAATAAAGGCTGAAATAGACGGGGATCAAGCAGACCAACTCCAAAACTTATCAGTTTGTGACAAGCAACGAACTTAATGCAAAACTAATGAACGGCATGGTGCAATATTGGAGTCTTTGTGGTGAAGCCGTAAAGATTTTTGTGCGGATCGAATTTGATTATTTTCATACTTTCATTTCCAGTGTTCGTTTTTGTAACCACTATAAACAAAAATATGGTGACAAGAAAAGTTGTATCTTACAAGCGTTGAGATTAATTATTGTATTTTTGGTTCATAATTTTTCGAATTAAATAACCATGTGTATAACTATATATATCTGTTTTTACTTTTTACTAACGACTTATGTTTGGACACGATGCATAAATGATCATTTTTTAATAGTTTTGGGTAAATGTTGTCCAAAAAAAAAATTGTTGTCTAAATAAAATAACTTGAATAAATGTTCCTTGTTTTGTGTGGTAGTGCGGTGATGTTGAGAAGACATGTGAATTGTGATGCACATGTCGCCATCACTCACTCTTCTTGTTTTGGACTAATCTACGAAACGTTGGGACGCGTAGATTTTTTTGCATCTACTTTGTTTACAAAGTTAGGTCTTGGTTACAAAAGTAGGCATAGTCGTTATAATGTTAGGTCTTGTTAACAAAACATTTGATCTTACGCCTATGATGATAGATTAACATGCCACTTGTCAATGATTCATATCGAATACAATCCATGATTATTTTCGTATTAGATATATATAGTATAGCTACTGCCACTTAAAAAAAAATGAAATTATCAAATCTAACACGTATTCTAAATATTTTATCCTTTTATAAAAGCAACATAAATAACAGTCCATATTAATAGCATAGGCTTGCAGCGCATATATAATCTCTACTCTATCCCAATTCAACCACAGCCATTGATAAACAGTAAACATCTTTCGATACAAGCACAAGTGGTCGAGTATCTCACGTAAATTAATCATATCAACAAAATTTTCTAATCATTAATTAGAGCTGTAAAAACCATGGACAAGCCTCATGCGCTCCTAGTCGCTAGCCCTGGCTTAGGCCACCTTATCCCTGTCCTCGAGCTCGGCAACCGTCTCTCCTCCGTCCTCAACATCCACGTCACCATTCTTGCGGTCAGCTCCAGCTCATCCTCCCCAACCGAAACCGAGGCTATACGTGCAGCGGCGGCTAGAGGGACATGTGTAATTACGGAGCTGCCCTCCGTCGATGTAGACAACCTCGTGGAGCCAGACGCGACGGTGGTCACTAAGATCGTAGTGACGATGCGAGCCATGAAGCCCGCGGTTCGAGAAGCCGTGAAGTCAATGAATCGAAAACCGACGGTCATGATCGTTGACTTTTTCGGTACGGGGTTGATGTCCGTAGCCGATGACGTAGGCATGACAGGTAAGTACGTATACATCCCTTCGCATGCATGGTTCTTGGCAGTGATGGTGTACTTGCCCATGTTGGATAAGTTAGTGGAAGGGGAATACGTTGAAATCAAGGAGCCTATGAAAATACCGGGTTGTAAACCGATTGGACCAAAAGAGCTTATGGAAACGATGTTAGACCGGTCGGACCGGCAGTACCGGGAGTGTCTACTAGGTGGCGAGGAGATACCTACGAGTGATGGCGTTTTGGTAAATACTTGGGAAGAGTTACAAGGGAACACACTCGCTGCGCTTAGAGGGGACGGAGAATTGAACCGGGTTGTGAAAGTTCCGGTTTATGCTATTGGGCCTATTGTTAGGACAAATGGGCCTATTGGAAAGCCCAATAGTATCTTCGAGTGGTTAGACCAGCAACCGGAAAGGTCAGTTATGTATGTGTGTTTAGGGAGTGGTGGAACGTTGTCGTTAGAGCAAACTAAGGAACTTGCTTGGGGTTTAGAGTTAAGTGGTCAAAGGTTTTTATGGGTTCTACGTAAGCCTACTTCTTACCTCGGAGTGAACTCGAGAGATGATGATCAGGTGACTGCGGGTCTACCGGAAGGTTTCTTGGACCGCACGTGTGGTATGGGTCTTGTGGTTACGCAGTGGGCACCACAAGTTGAGATCTTGAGCCATGGTTCGATCGGTGGGTTCTTGTCTCATTGCGGTTGGAGTTCGGTATTAGAGAGTTTAACTAAAGGAGTTCCGATCGTGGTTTGGCCTCTCTACGCGGAACAATGGATGAATGCCACGTTGCTGACTGAGGAGATCGGTGTGGCCGTTCGTACGTCGGAGTTACCGGCAAAGGGAGTGATCGGCCGGGAAGAAGTGGCGTTTCTGGTGAGAAAGATTATGGTGGAAGAGGATGAAGAAGGAAGGAAGATAAGGGCTAAAGCTGAGGAGGTGAAGGTTAGCTCCGAACGAGCTTGGAATCAAGGTGGGTCGTCTCATAGTTCTCTATTCGAATGGGCAAAAATATGTCGTCTTGTGTCATCATGATTCACACAAATATGGATCTTATGTTTTTGGCACTTTTAGTGTTCTTTGTACAGTGTATTGGATTCTCTGTATGGAACAAAAATGGTTCGTTATGTATTGATAATGGAGACAAGATATATGACAAATAATGTTACATGTCAGAAAAATTAAGACCATCTTTATATATTAATTCACAAAAAAAAATAAACACAGTACAGTTGTTTTGTAAGAATTTATATCTCTTGTGACAAACAAACTCGGCCTTACATTCATGCAACAA